GCAGCTTCACTTAAGAATATGAAAATTACGTTTAAGAAAATTACGTTTAATTATCAGAAATCCCCAGCGAAATAAAAATTTTACGTATTGATCAGGTTTTTCTAAATTGGGTTAATGTTGTCAAAAAAAGCGCCAACCAAAATCGTCCTAGAAATTTAAAGAGTTTAAAGGGCATCTATTTTTTTTTCGTTGAAAATCTAAAGTTGAGATTTTTTCAAAAAAAATTTGTGTTTTTTTATTTGCGTTCATTAATCTTTTCCAATCTTCGCTTGGCTATGTTTTATTTTATTCGTTCACAATTTATAATTTTCGTTTTAGAGGAAATGCGTTTTTGGATGCCAGAACTTGACGATTCAGGATGTGACTACCGAATTGCAGGAGGTTTGCTAGAGACTGTTGGTTCCAGCAGATATACAATTTTTTTTTTAAATGAGGTAACCCCCTCTCCAGTATTGCCCCCTCAGGATCAGATTAGGAACGTGCTGCTATCTAAAGAGTTGAAAAGATTTCCTGTAGAAATTTATGAAACTGAGGATACAACTTTTAAAAAACTTTTTTTTCTCAAGTTTTCTTCTCTCTTCAGAGACTGCACGGATGGGCTTTAATGTACCTCATTTGTGCCTCATTTGAAAAAAATTCCGAAAACTATTTGTCATACATTTTTCATAATTGAAAAATTTTTAGTCATACAATTTCGATTTAAGGCAAAATGTTAGTCATACAATTCATTTATGCAAATTCATTTATGGGAAAATGTTTTTTATAGAGATTTCATACAATTTTCTGAATTTCATGGAATTGTATGGAATTGTATTACAAGAAACTTCCCATTTATGAGAATTGTATGACAAGCATTTTTGGTCAACCCGGCAACAATTCCTGACTCAAGATCTATCCAGAACTAATTATACCACTTTTTCATGCGCCACCTAAACCATTGTGGCGTAGCTTGCTTTTATTATAAAATTATACGAAACATGAAATTGCTAAAACTGTCGACAAAATTGGGATCTTTTTCGAAACCTTATAATCACCCAAGTCCAATTCATGTTTTGACTATGAGCCCTCTCCAGCGCAATGCAATCACTAGAAGGTTTTGGTCAAGCGATGAGATGTGATTAATCAAGTCAAAACATACAAATCAAGTCAGTGCGTGGGAGTAGATTGAGAATGAATGCAATGTCGGCTGACCTGGAAGCTGCAGGGGACTTGTTGTTGGGTCTAGTGTTGAAGTAGACACTGTAGACGTGCATGAGGCGGTACTTGACAATGATGAGGTCTGACAGGGTGCTCTGGACAGCCAACACTTGGGCACAATCCCACCCCACATCCCCCCTCAGACACAGTCTCCTTCTTCCTCTCCTTCTCCTCTTCTTCTTATTCCCATCATCAGCACTGCTATCGAGAACAACACAACACGCAATAACACATCAACCCCAATCATCCTTCGAGAGGTAATCTGGGCTACAAGAGCAACAGCATAGGAGCAACAGCATGCACTCCAAAAAAGCTCAAAACTGAATTTTGCCCACTTTTTTCCTGATATTTGCGCTGCATCATGTTTAGTCGAAAATAGATTGTGCCGAAATGGGGATGGATTGGGTCTCCTTTTCAATGTTACTGAAAGTCATTAAACATTAAGTGTAATATAATTGAATAAAGTACCAGTAAAATGCGACAAGCTTTACAAAGTAATTTTGAGCTGTTTAAAAAATGCAAATATGCCAAAACTATTGTAGGCTTTAGAACTGCGGATAATCGTTTTTTTTTTTTTCAAAAAAATTATATGATGACTCGACAAAATCCATAAATGTGAAAACTTCAGGCAAAAAATACAGGATTACCAGTTATAATCAGGGGCTGAGCAAGGGGGGCGAAGGGGGAAGGGTGCTACCCCATTTTTCAGGGGATTTGACCCCCCTCACCGCCCAAAACATCCCCTTCAATTCTTTTTAACGACAGCCACTTGTGACGATGAAATTCAGTTAAAACACTCAGAAGTGATGTGAAATTGCCAATATTTATAGGAAAACACTTGAACAGCAGAATTTGGATCAGTCAAAAAACAGAGATAGGAATTTGAAAAAAAGAGACAAAAATTAGGTATGCTTAATTCAAGGCAAAAACCAAAAATTTCCAAACAATTAACTGTTTGTACACAGAGGCGGATCTAGGATTTTCTGGATCAAGTTTTTCGAAAATATTCTCGAACTTTTGAACGAAATTGATTTTCCGAGCTCTCCCAAAACATTAAATAGACTTTGTTTTTGCAGGCAAGTTTTTCAAAAAAAAATTTTAGGCATTTTTTGGACGGTTTTTCAGCGCGGGATGCCCCACCAAAACTATTAGTTAATGGCACCAGCCAACGAAAAAAATAGAGTCAGCCAGCCAAAAATGGAGGTTTTAAAACAGTACGAAAGGGGTTCGAAAGTAGTATCAAATTACCAATGTTTGAACAATTTGCTCGTGTGTATCATGTTTGGATACGCTAGGATGGCTCTTTTCTACCACATATTTTATTTCTTTGCGACAGCATTGAAATAAGTTTTCAAACTTTAGCTTGAAATGTGTGTGTGTGTGTGTGTGTGTGTGTGTGTGTGAGGGGGGGAGGGGGGGGTTGTGGGGGTTGTGGTGAAGATAGGCACCGATTACAAAACAGTTGCCTTCGCAAATGTAGACGACAACTGTGGCATTTTTGTGTTGAAATGACTTATAGGTGAGCGAATAAACTGAAGAGAGACCTTCTGTCTGCATCTGAAGAGGAGGAGTCAGTGGTAGTTAGGGTTGTTGTTGACCAGTGGTCTGTGAGGAGCATCTTGAGGTGTTGACAGCTGAGCATGAGGATCGGGATGCTCTTGTAGTTCAGTCTGCAGTCACTCTGCGCCAGGTGCACGTGCAGACGATGTGTCGGCTCCTCCCCCTCCACCTCCCCCTCCCCTTGCTCCTCTCCCTGAGGGGGTCTCCTCATTGTAAGTTGCACATTCCAGTCTGTCAGTTGGATCGAGGGGTTGATCGCAGCTGCAATCGAGGACAACTCAGATCTGCCTGCAAACAAACACTTGTCAAGTCATCAAAGAATAACTATTTAATCACAAGTGTAGAAGAGTTTTTGTTAGGGAAGTGTAACTCCCTTTCAGAAGTTCGATCCCCTTGTCGTCATCATCATCACAGTTGCTTTGTGCACTTCGTCTTGTATTCAGAGGTGGCCTTTCCTCTTTTCAGCTATATTTTCACAGCCATCATCCAATATTCGTCCTTCATCGTTCAATTTAGTTAAAACTATCTGGCTCTCGAGGTGAGCTTAGATTTCCCGATTTGTAAAAATGGTTGCTGCCATCTCAAAACGTATTTTAAACAGTCTATCGTGATTTAATCATAAGACTTTTGTTCTAGCTCTGAAAATGAGCTTAGATTTGCGAAAAAACGTGCCATGCTGTTATTCTTAACTCATAAACTCAACAAAATAACTTTATTTCCTGGCTCTAAAGGTGAGCTCAGATTGATAGAGGTTAAAAATTTAAAATAATTAACATCAAAACTAACATGGAGACTTAAAATTTCTGAAAGCAGCCTCAGAAATCTCTGGAAAGCTTGTGTAGACCTTCTGGAGCAGGATCTAGGCTATCGTCCGATATATGCTTCCGGAACAAAAACTTTATGGTGCTTTGAAACTGAATTTTATAGCGCCTGTTTAGTTTTCTGCAACCCATGTTTAACCGAAATAGACTATCATACTTTTATTCCCGGCTGATGAGAGCCGTCAATTATTGCAAAGTTGATGCCATATGTTTGGTAGTGGCTTATGATAAAATCCATCTGTCCATGGTTTATAGCCACATCATTATCAAGAACTTTTCTAAGCACTTGATGAGAGCATATAGTAAAAAAATGAATCCGGCTAGTTCGACCCGTCCTCAAATACGTCTAACGACCATTTTTGACCACTCAACCTTCTGCTGCCATTACATTTACCTTTTCAGGGCCTAACAACAGAATCAACGCATTTAAAAGCTGAAACTTTTCATTGTGCAACAAAGTTTTTGAAAATCCCCAGCTGACCAAGTGAGCCCAAAAATGGATTACTACAGTTTCTAGACAATGTTGCCTTGAATGCGCATTTGAGAGGCAAACATGTAAATTGGAGACAAGCCGCAAGTAATTATTGGTATATTGATCTTATCCCTTTTTATTTATTGATTTCGTGGGGGCTCAAGGAATATAGCCAACTGAAAGTTGGAAAAGAGAAATGGACGCAAGTAAACAGAAAGAGATGACTTTGTTGAAAAAATCTAAAGTTTCGAATTTCAAAACAAAATAGTTTGGGCTCTTTGAGTTTTCAGAACAATTTATGATTGGCGCTTTTTTGATAACCTTAACCCAACTTGAGAAAACTTGATCAATAGGTAAAATTTTTATTCCGCTAGAAATCTAAAAATTAAATTTCTTTTTCGAAACTATAAAACGTTCCGAATTTTTTGCACCATTTCCACGGTCGTGTTTGGAGAGTGCTATTTACGTAACTTTCAGCAGAAAAATTTCAATTCAACTCAAAAAATGCATATAAATCTAAGTGCATTTGTAAATGCAATATTATGAATGAATGCCTATCTGTAGTTATTAGAGCATTTTAAGACTTTAGACTTTTCCTGAAAAAAAAAAACAAAGAAAAATACCCAACATGTATGTAAGAGTCTTCACTACAATCATTGCTCATAAAACAATTGACGCGTAACTGCTGCTTCTGTTTCTCCTAAGACTTAACAATTTAAGTATGTTTTTTTTTCCTGCGTGAGAGGGTACCACAAAAAAACCTATTGAGTGTCGAGCGTGGATGTGAAAAAACATCACGCAAAATTAGGCATGTTTTTAGTTTTCCTGAAAAATTCTAAGGCATTGCCAATCACTTCCATAAGTTTTTTTGTAGCGGCGGACCTAAGTGTTCAATGAAATTTTCTCCAATTTTTTTTGCTAAGCACAGTATTTGATGTTTTTTCTGAGCTCAGCTGACAAAAAAACTATAGCCAACATAAGGTTGGAAAAATGTAAGAGAACGAAAAATTCTCAGAAAGTTTTGGACACCGTTCTTAGACAAATTTTAGGGATGTTTTGACAAAAACTTTAGGGATGCTTCGATTTGTAAAATTTGCAAGAGGACTAGTGCAAAAAATCACGCTGCATGATTAACAACTCAAACAAGACTTCCAATGAATAAAGGCATTTTCTGACAAAATCAAGCCTCGTTACGCAGCAAGAACCTCACATAAACCAAAATGATCAAATGAAGCCGAATTGTTTGTTTTGTTTTTTTTCTCATCAATGATCTTTTGTAAAAAAAACAGAGGGATTGGTCGTTTGAGTTTGTACCTCAGGGACAGCCCAATTCCTGAAACTTTTTTTGTCTCAAAAATTCAACCCTCCTCAAATGTTCATTTTGGGGATCTGAAGTTTTTGCTTTTAACTGTAGGAAAAATTTAGCCATCAATCATCTTTGCCTTATCACAATATAAATGATTGATTCAAGAAGTATATATAAGAGTCTTCACTAGGATCAATGCTTTTAAATTAATTGACGCGTAATGGATGCTTCTGTTTCTCCTAAGACATAAAAATATAAGTTTTTTTTCCCGCGTGAGAACGTAGCACAAAAAAAAATGAGTGTCGGGTGTGGAGGTGCGCTAAAACGTCACTCAAAATTAGGCATGGACTTAGTTTTCTCGAAAAATTCTAATGAATTGCCAATCAAGTTTATGACAATTTTTTCATAGCGGCGGATTTAAGTGCTTCATGAAGTATTTTCCAGTTTTTTCGAAGCACAGTTTTTGATGATTTTTTCTGAGCTCAGCTGACAAAAAACCATAGCCAGCATTGGTTTTTTTGGTTTTTTTGTCAGTTAATCAAGAACTACGCTGAAACTACTACTTTAATTGATGAAAAGTTTATCTCAAAAGAAGCTTTTTACGCAGCCCAACAAAGTTCTGTGAGAGTAAAACTTCCAGAAATCTAATTAGGTGAACATATTTCTACTTGATAGCCACAATTAGGTCATTTGTAATATTTAATATAGCCAACTGACAGTAGGAATAAAGTAATCAAATCAAGTAAACAGAAAAAAAAACAATGACTTTAAAAATCTTTAGAAGAAAAAATAGATGGCCTTAAAGCTCCTTGTAGAACTATTTATGATTGATATTTTTTTGATAAAGTTAACCTAATTTGAGAAAACTGGATCAATAGGTAAAACTTTTACTTTGCTGGGAAATCTGATAAATAATTTCCATTTCAAAAGTAGAAGTTGATCACGGTTTTCGTGGTCTTTAGACTTCTGCTGTTCGATAGTGGAGTTTGCCTTCCTTTAAACAACGGAAAAGAACTGAATATAATCAGAAATCAAAAGTCAAACCGCGAAAAATTAAACTGAGCTTGAACAAATCTTCAATTTTTTGCTGAAAAAAAAAATCTTTGAAAAATTACCCAGACCTATATAGCAGTTCTTACTACCTTCCTTAAAGGCTAAAGTCATTGTTTAAATTAATGTGCTAGTTTCAGCATAATTTTTGAATAACTAACATAAATTGAACCAAAACAATTCTGTTACAATTTTGAGCACCTTCTGTGCACTTTACTTTTTGTCTAATCTTGAACCAGTTGTAGAGAAAGCATTTTAATTTTCAAGTGTTGTTCGTTTTGTCGAGATAATTTAAATCAGCTCTGTAATTATGTACTTATGATTACAAATTGCTGGCTTCAAATCAAATTTGAACAATTTTTGAGCCGGTTTAAATCTCCGCTAACGCGATAATACAGAAGTTTCCAGATGATTTAGAAGGACAAGACTGCTTGTATCAGGGAAAAACCACAATCGTTTGACTGCCCTTTAGCTTAATCACTGGGGTCAAAAACTTAACTTTAGTCTAACCAATAACTGGGGTGAAAAAACGGACATTTAGTTGACCCAATAACTGGGGTCAAAAAACGGACATTTAGGCAGCCAAAAAATTGGGGTCAAAAAACGGACTTTACTTGACACAATAACTGGGGTCAAAAAACGGACACTTGAGCAGCCAAAAAAGTGGGGTCAAAAACGGACTTTAGTTCCCCAATAACTGGGGTCAAAAAACGGACATTTGGGCGACCGAAAAACTGGGGTAAAAAACGGACATTTAGTTGACCCAAAAAGGGTCAAAGAACGAACATTTGGTCGACCCATAGTGTCTTTTTATATTTCGAGCACCCTAATCCGCGTAGCGCACTCAAGATTTTGTTCAGTTTAAAAGTTTTGTTACTTTAAAAACTGGTTATATATTTAACACAAATCAAATGCAATTCAATAAATTTAGGTTTGTTTCATTACGAGGCGAAACTGTGCACTTTGTGAATTGTAAGCGGAATCGGCAAGAGGCAAAAATCAGATTTGTCTCGGAATCCGCAAAATTGCTATTTTTTAAAAATCTTCTCTGCTGTTTCGATTCCACGGACAAATAGTTAAAACAATGTGTTGCACAAAATTGCTCCAAAAACACGCAATTTTGCGGAATCCGCAAAAAAATGTGTGGAATCCGAAACCAGTTTGTGGAATCTACGAACAAATTATAATATATGTGTTTAGTAAACTTAAGCTGTCGCGGAGTCCGCAACTGTAAGTGGAATCCGCAAATTGTAAGCGGAATCCGCAAGTTGTAAGCGTATTTTGCAAATGTAAGCGGAATCCAAAAATTGTAAGCGGAATCCGCGTAAATTTGCGGAATCCAATTACATTTGCGGAATCCGGAACAACTACCTATATTCGCTCGTTGCGGAATCCGCAACAAAATCAATGTGCCGACAAAGTTTATGTTACAACTATTTCTACGCGGAATCCACTGAAATTTTGTAAGTGGAAACCACTTACATTTTGGAATATGTTTAACGACCTGTCTCTGGAACCCAGGAAGATACACACACAAAATTGGGCGCCTAGCCAGTGCACAGTTTGGCCTCGTAATGTTTGAGTGTCGAAAGTGAGAGAGTTTTCATACAAAACTGGTTGAACTTTTTGTCGAAGCGAGTATTAAATTTGCGTGTTGATATTTGAAATGACAAAGATGCTTAAATTGTCTAGGGATTAATATGATAGTTTTATTTATGACATATTGCTGAATAAGTGGAGGGTGTGACCCTTGGCCCTGGACTGTACTTCATGCCCGTCATCAAGCTCTAGCGAACACATACAACTCTCTCGTACTTGCCTTCAGCTCCAAAAACCGCCTGGACCTGAAAGAAAACTCATGGGGAAATTTTGAAAGTTTTTCGAGGATTTTCAGTTTGCAACAAAGCCCAAGGTCCAACTGGTCAACCCGGGCTACTACGTTCTACAAGGGTTATGCAGGGACCGAGTCATGGACAAGGACAAGGACGTCATCCGAGCCCTGAAGCTGGAGGTGCGAGTGTCCCTCGGCGACAAATACTTTTCAAGCATCAAAGCTTTTCACTGTGTTGCTGCTTTCTTGGACCCCACCTTCAAGATTTTCTCTTTTACACTGGAAACGCACAGCTGAGTAGTGATTCAAGGCCGGTCTGCTAAATAAATCAACTGGACTCGCGGGTACCCTGTGGAGAACACTGCCAACGTCTTGCAACCCGTTGCGAAGACCACCTGACGGTCTCTTGCGATCCACCAGCGACGACGAAACTCCGATCAAAGGAGCGGTAGTGAAAGAGCTGGAGTCAAATAAACTGAAGTCTTTCAAGGCTGTCAGTCCGGACCCCGCCAAGTTCTGGAAGGGCGCAGCGTCGAAGTACCCCATCCTCGGCCGTGTCGCGCGGAAGCTCCTACCTATTCAAGCTACAAGCGCCCATAACGAGCGTGACTTCAGCAGGGCTGGGCAAATTCGGACAGCCAAGCGTGCCCTCTTTTTTGTGGCAAAAGTCAGGCAAATCGATTTGCTAGGATCGGTTGCAGCCAATGGACTTATTAAACTTTTTTTTTTTTAAATTTCAATTTAGATTTTGTTTGGAATATCCTGTTTTCGCTAAAAACGGGCCCGGGCTTGAAATTTTGGTTCTCCAAGTGGGTGGGGCCGAGCCCAGGTCTCAAATTCAGGCCTGGTTCCGACTCTGGCTGTAACACAAGCCATGCTAGAATGTTTCTTTAACATGTATGTGTCTCTAGAACGTAAAAAGAAGTCTCAAAAATGGATGGAAGACATGAAAACAGAAGCGATTCTCTAAAGTCAACTGAATAGCATTTCGAGTTGCCAGAGTAAAATGCAGGCCAGTTCTTCATTGGAAAACATGGTCGTCCTGAGTGTTCTGTTAATGCAGGCAGTGAGAAATGGTAGTTCTGATTTGCAGCAAATGACATCATTCGTGGCCTGCTCAAAACTTGAGCAAATGGTTCATTAATTGAACTCCTTTCGTGTTTAAGTTTATTGGAAGGAAGTCCGGGTTTTTTTTTCTGTCCGGTGGTGACCCGGCGGGAGCTACCAGTTGATGAAAAAGAGCCATATCTACACTGTTTACTGCTTGTTAAACGGTGGCACGAAGTTCCCTGCATCTATGCGCTTCTTCTCAACTTGCTTTTGTTTTTAATGTGGAGGGGATGCATTTGAGCTGGAGATGGAATGGATATGATGTGACATGCATACATACCTAGAGTGAGGTTAGTTGAGGCGACTTTGTTGCTGGTGCTGTCCAGATGGAGCAGTCCATTGGCACACAGTCGCTCAGTCCTCACTTTGATGCTGCCCAGGAAACTCTCCAGCTGCAGATTCACCTCCACAAACGGGAAGTTCACAGCTATCCTCACATTCGACTCCCACTTAACCCGCAACTGCTGCTGCTGCTGAAGAGTGGGGCAGCTGTTGGAGGAGAAGCTACGCGAGCCCCCTCCCCCTCCCCCTCCCCCCGATCTGCTGTCACTTCCGGTCAACACGGGACTGCTCAACAGTCGCCCGCCGTACTTGAACAAAGTGCTCTTTCGATTGGCCTGGAACCAAAAGTATGTGAATAAGACTTAAAAAAGGTCGATAATGGAATCTGAAAAACTATTGAACGATTTTTTTTTTAATTTTGCTGAATGCTTAAATGTTATCGGAAACGAAAGAAATGTGACGTCAAAGACAGTTAGGTAGCTGATAATTGTTGTTATTTTTCAATTGTCTTTCTGTGCTCTCATTTGCTATTGAATTAAGTATTCCAAGGAACGAAACATTTTGGCTACAAAATATATGAATAGAATCTAGATCGCAAAAGTATCTCTTCGCTTTTAATCACCAGAGAATTCACGGAAAGAGTCTAACGGAGAGAACTCTCGTCACACTCTGCAGCTTTTGTTTTCGCTGTTGTTGTTGTTTATTGAGCATGTAATATGTCACTTGGGTCTCGAGCAGAACCCTTGCTTTAATTCATCAGATGTAATCACAAAACAGCAATAAGACATCATCAAAAAACCGTTTCTCAGGAAAAAATATAGACAAGATGAGCATGTAGTAATCAGTGGTCACCGCCAACTAGGCGCGGATCTAGGAATTTCTCGAGGGGTGGCAGATTTTCAAAAAATTTTTGAAAATTTCGTCGACCTTTTTTTTAGGTCGACCAAATTGATTTTCTGAGCTCTCCCAAATAACTATTAGGACCTTAATTTGCCTCCAAATTTTTTGCGCCCCTCCCCCCTCAAAATTAGTATATATTGGCGCCGAAGAGCCGCCTTTAGAAAAATTTTAGATTGATCTCACAATAGTACAATGGGGGGACCCTTTGGGTGGGCAGGGGGTCAAATCCCTGAAAAGAAAACGTCCGCCCCCCCCCCCCCAAATCCGCTACTGCCACCAACCGTAATCGATGAAGGCAGTTCTGAAAAGAAAACGTACGCCAAACCCCCCCCCCCCCCCCCTCCCAAATCCGCTACTGCCACCAACCGTAATCGATGAAGGCAGTCCTTCGTAAGTTTTGGTCGATTTTCTCTTCTGCTGAGGGGTAGAACGCCTTCTTATGTCTGCAGGCCCCTTTGCACCATCGTCCCCGCTATACCAGCCCCCCAAATCATCCCCCGCCTCCGTGTAAAAAGGAGCCGTTGCGGGATAGTCGTCCATGTCGGGGATGGAGATGTCGTCTTCCTCGGGAGCGGTGGCGGTGAATGCCCGAGTCATGAGGTTCTTGCGGTACCAAAACTTGAGAAAAGTTCTCAGCTCGTTCAGTTTGCGAATGTCGAACTTAAAATGACATTCTCCGAAATCGACAATTACTAAAATAGAATGACACATTTCATAGTGGCAAAAGAAACAAACAATAACACGGTCGCTGCTGAAATTAAGCTTGGCAATAATTGTAGAATAACTTTAGTTTACTGTGTTTAGGTAGGTATGCCCGTCCTGACAAGAAATGGATTGCAATCGGTTTTATGCAGATAAAAAAGCAGACCTAAAAAATCGTTTCTAATCAAGAAAAAAATAATTTAATTTGATACAAAAAAGTAGCTTAAAATATTAATTTCAATCCATTCTAAATCAATTTAAACCTTTTTTTGTCAACTTGTTTGGTTTTCATACGGATTTTAGTAACAGTAAAGTTGTCATGAACTGATTTAAACATTTTTCGATGAGTTTTTTTATATACTCATTTCATACAGATTTTATAAAGAGTATACTCAGACGTTCTATACTATCAAACCAAAGAGAAATAGTGAAATTAAATTTTCAACGTATGCGTTTTGATTGACTTTTTGTTTTGATCTTTGGCTTGAAAATAAATTATCAGGATATCTATTATCTAAAGTTTCTGCAACGAAAACGAATTTTTGAAATTTGCGTTTTTTTAATATGTTGACATTGGCATACTTTTGATTATCAACACTTTTATCAGAAAAGACATAAACAACCCAACAAAAAGTTTTGAAAATACACAATCTGAACGATTGGTCAGTTGTCAGAGCGTATTGCTGCCTGGTGTTTGAATTCAGTGAGCAAGCCTTAGAAGTAGCAAGTTTATCCATTTAACCTTTGTTCAAGAAAGTTTAATCGTTTTTCCTATTTTATGTACAAGTTAATTAAACGCAAGATCTGTTTTGAAAATGTTTCTTGTCGAGCAATGATGTTTGGTTTTTAGACTGTGTTTTCTCCTACAAAGTTTTACGCCAACTCTTCTACGACAAATTTTTTATTAGTTTGTTAAATTAAATTTATCTCATAACAGATCACTGCTCTCAAGAGTTATTTTAAAATCAAATTTTTTCTCATTTGGTAACCAGATAAACGAGGTAGTTTTCCCGAGTTCTTCTCCATAATTTCAATGAAGGCTCAGTATTCGATCTATGCGTACTCTTAAAAATTCGAAAGTTTGAAGAAAAATGGAGATTGTGTTAACAACGGTAAAAACATTTCGGTAAAAACAACGGTCTCAATTTTTTTTTCAAATCTTTATTCTATAATTTACCAACTTTTTGACAACCTCAATGTTTTTTTTCTGGCTTTTATGATAATAGCCAAATTTATTTTATTAGGGTTGGGTGATATTTGGTTTTCAATCAGTCAATTATTCACGACCATCAGTTCTGTGTTGAGTGTGTTTTTTATGGTTTATTTTTCAGAGCTGTTTCGTCAGCGTAAAGAAAAGTTTGAAGACGGTTACGACAAGAATCAATATTCTTCATGTAAATGATGAAGAGTACGGGGAGTAAGGATAGAGCTTTGGGAAACTCCTATTTGAATATTTTTATTTTCAGGTTTGAAGGGCTCTTTAAAAGTAAACTAACTTCCTATCTTAGAGTAGGATTTAGTTATATCATTCAGCTTGTCTTTAGTACTAAAACTGAGTGGTTTTTGCAGTAATTTAGAATGTTTAACCAAATCAAACGCTTTTTTGGAATCCAAAAAACATAAGTTTCTTTTCAATAATTTTTGGTCCAGATGTCCCAAGTAATTTAAAATAACTCGATTAGTGCATCTATACTTCCCAGCTGAACTGATTTGGTGTGAAGAGGCAAAAATTTTCAAGCCGCAAAATGGGTTCAAAACTTTCTGCATGTGAAAATTACCATATTTATAGATTGGAGTTGCGTTAGCCAAACATAGCCAACTGACAGGTGGTAAAGAGTAAAAACGCAAATAACCAGAAATAAAAACAACTGACTTTATTTTTGTAGAAAAAAATTTTATCTTTCAATTTTATAAGAAAAAATATATATACTTTCGAATCTTTTTGAATTTTACTAACAATTTATGATTTAGGCGTTTACGATAAAATCAACCCAATATGAGAAAATTTGATCAATAGGTAAAGTTGGTATTGCAAAATAGGTGCTGCAAAATCGGATAATTAAATTTCATGAGCAAAACTATGTGTCGATGACGTTTTTCGTGATGTTTACTTGTTTGCTGTTCAAACCATTTGGCTGTTCTTTCAACGAAGGGCAAAAAAGTAACTCAAAAAGAAGCCAAAAATCAAACCGCGAAAAATCAAAATTTTTTCTGAATAAATGTTCAGACTTTTTCCTGAAAAAAATACAGAAAAAAATCACCAAGACCTTTATAAAAGTAGTGTATGCTTTCACTACTGAGAACATAAGATCATCGAGGAAAATAGATTGCATTTTGAATTGATTAAAAACATTATCTTATTGTTATTAGCCGATGGTCAAGCCTAGTAGGAAGTTGTCTTTTTTAAAATCCAAATTTTATTTCTCACACAGGTGGTCGATGAATCTGTATCTGCCCGCGGTTACATTAGTGTCGCGTGATCCAGAGCGTGATGGGTTGTCTGGAACAATATGAGGCGGAGGGTGAAATGGGTAGCCCCCCTGTAGTGGGTCGGATGAGGCTGAGGCGGCGGTTGAAGGGGGAGGGGACCAGAGCATGTGCAGCACTGAGTTGCGACACATGTTCAGCCTCAGTGATCTGACAGAGAGGGAGAAGGCGTCCTTCCGCGAACTGTCGCCTATCGGTTCCAACATACAATACTCAAATTCAATTGTTTTTTTGCCCTTTAGTTCACGCGGAAATTAAAACATGTTTGATGAAACACTTTCACTCTGAAGCACCCACATATTTATTTTCAGTTTGATAAGATTGAAGCCGTTTGTCTTAAGGAGTGGGTAAGTTAGGAGCTGTATTAAAACATGTTTGATGAAACACTTTCACTCTGAAGCACCCACATATTTATTTTCAGTTTGATAAGATTGAAGCCGTTTGTCTTATGGAGTGGGTAAGTTAGGAGCTGTATTAAAACATGTTTGATGAAACACTTTCACTCTGAAGCACCCACATATTTATTTTCAGTTTGATAAGATTGAAGCCGTTTGTCTTAAGGAGTGGGTAAGTTAGGAGCTGTATTAAAACATGTTTGATGAAACACTTTCACTCTGAAGCACCCACATATTTATTTTCAGTTTGATAAGATTGAAGCCGTTTGTCTTATGGAGTGGGTAAGTTAGGAGCTGTATTAAAACATGTTTGATGAAACACTTTCACTCTGAAGCACCCACATATTTATTTTCAGTTTGATAAGATTGAAGCCGTTTGTCTTAAGGAGTGGGTAAGTTAGGAGCTGTATTAAAACATGTTTGATGAAACACTTTCACTCTGAAGCACCCGCATATTTATTTTCAGTTTGGTAAGATTGAAGCCGTTTGTCTTAAGGAGTGGGTAAGTTAGGAGCTGTATTAAAACATGTTTGATGAAACACTTTCACTCTGAAGCACCCACATATTTATTTTCAGTTTGATAAGATTGAAGCCGTTTGTCTTATGGAGTGGGTAAGTTAGGAGCTGTATTAAAACATGTTTGATGAAACACTTTCACTCTGAAGCACCCACATATTTATTTTCAGTTTGATAAGATTGAAGCCGTTTGTCTTAAGGAGTGGGTAAGTTAGGAGCTGTATTAAAACATGTTTGATGAAACACTTTCACTCTGAAGCACCCACATATTTATTTTCAGTTTGATAAGATTGAAGCCGTTTGTCTTATGGAGTGGGTAAGTTAGGAGCTGTATTAAAACATGTTTGATGAAACACTTTCACTCTGAAGCACCCACATATTTATTTTCAGTTTGATAAGATTGAAGCCGTTTGTCTTAAGGAGTGGGTAAGTTAGGAGCTGTATTAAAACATGTTTGATGAAACACTTTCACTCTGAAGCACCCACATATTTATTTTCAGTTTGATAAGATTGAAGCCGTTTGTCTTAAGGAGTGGGTAAGTTAGGAGCTGTATTAAAACATGTTTGATGAAACACTTTCACTCTGAAGCACCCACATATTTATTTTCAGTTTGATAAGATTGAAGCCGTTTGTCTTAAGGAGTGGGTAAGTTAGGAGCTGTATTAAAACATGTTTGATGAAACACTTTCACTCTGAAGCACCCACATATTTATTTTCAATTTGATAAGATTGAAGCCGTTTGTCTTATGGAGTGGGTAAGTTAGGAGCTGTATTAAAACATGTTTGACGAAACACTTTCACTATGAAGCACCCACATATTTATTTTCAGTTTGATAAGATTGAAGCCGTTTGTCTTAAGGAGTGGGTAAGTTAGGAGCTGTATTAAAACATGTTTGATGAAACACTTTCACTCTGAAGCACCCACATATTTATTTTCAGTTTGATAAGATTGAAGCCGTTTGTCTTAAGGAGTGGGTAAGTTAGGAGCTGTATTAAAACATGTTTGATGAAACACTTTCACTCTGAAGCACCCACATATTTATTTTCAGTTTGATAAGATTGAAGCCGTTTGTCTTATGGAGTGGGTAAGTTAGGAGCTGTATTAAAACATGTTTGATGAAACACTTTCACTCTGAAGCACCCACATATTTATTTTCAGTTTGATAAGATTGAAGCCGTTTGTCTTAAGGAGTGGGTAAGTTAGGAGCTGTATTAAAACATGTTTGATGAAACACTTTCACTCTGAAGCACCCACATATTTATTTTCAGTTTGATAAGATTGAAGCCGTTTGTCTTATGGAGTGGGTAAGTTAGGAGCTGTATTAAAACATGTTTGATGAAACACTTTCACTCTGAAGCACCCACATATTTATTTTCAGTTTGATAAGATTGAAGCCGTTTGTCTTAAGGAGTGGGTAAGTTAGGAGCTGTATTAAAACATGTTTGATGAAACACTTTCACTCTGAAGCACCCACATATTTATTTTCAGTTTGATAAGATTGAAGCCGTTTGTCTTAAGGAGTGGGTAAGTTAGGAGCTGTATTAAAACATGTTTGATGAAACACTTTCACTCTGAAGCACCCACATATTTATTTTCAATTTGATAAGATTGAAGCCGTTTGTCTTATGGAGTGGGTAAGTTAGGAGCTGTATTAAAACATGTTTGATGAAACACTTTCACTATGAAGCACCCACATATTTATTTTCAGTTTGATAAGATTGAAGCCGTTTGTCTTAAGGAGTGGGTAAGTTAGGAGCTGTATTAAAACATGTTTGATGAAACACTTTCACTCTGAAGCACCCACATATTTATTTTCAGTTTGATAAGATTGAAGCCGTTTGTCTTAAGGAGTGGGTAAGTTAGGAGCTGTATTAAAACATGTTTGATGAAACACTTTCACTCTGAAGCACCCACATATTTATTTTCAGTTTGATAAGATTGAAGCCGTTTGTCTTAAGGAGTGGGTAAGTTAGGAGCTGTATTAAAACATGTTTGATGAAACACTTTCACTCTGAAGCACCCACATATTTATTTTCAATTTGATAAGATTGAAGCCGTTTGTCTTATGGAGTGGGTAAGTTAGGAGCTGTATTAAAACATGTTTGATGAAACACTTTCACTATGAAGCACCCACATATTTATTTTCAGTTTGATAAGATTGAAGCCGTTTGTCTTAAGGAGTGGGTAAGTTAGGAGCTGTATTAAAACATGTTTGATGAAACACTTTCACTCTGAAGCACCCACATATTTATTTTCAGTTTGATAAGATTGAAGCCGTTTGTCTTAAGGAGTGGGTAAGTTAGGAGCTGTATTAAAACATGTTTGATGAAACACTTTCACTCTGAAGCACCCACATATTTATTTTCAGTTTGATAAGATTGAAGCCGTTTGTCTTATGGAGTGGGTAAGTTAGGAGCTGTATCAAAACATGTTTGATGAAACACTTTCACTCTGAAGCACCCACATATTTATTTTCAGTTTGATAAGATTGAAGCCGTTTGTCTTAAGGAGTGGGTAAGTTAGGAGCTGTATTAAAACATGTTTGATGAAACACTTTCACTCTGAAGCACCCACATATTTATTTTCAGTTTGATAAGATTGAAGCCGTTTGTCTTATGGAGTGGGTAAGTTAGGAGCTGTATTAAAACATGTTTGATGAAACACTTTCACTCTGAAGCACCCACATATTTATTTTCAGTTTGATAAGATTGAAGCCGTTTGTCTTAAGGAGTGGGTAAGTTAGGAGCTGTATTAAAACATGTTTGATGAAACACTTTCACTCTGAAGCACCCACATATTTATTTTCAGTTTGATAAGATTGAAGCCGTTTGTCTTAAGGAGTGGGTAAGTTAGGAGCTGTATTAAAACATGTTTGATGAAACACTTTCACTCTGAAGCACCCACATATTTATTTTCAGTTTGATAAGATTGAAGCCGTTTGTCTTAAGGAGTGGGTAAGTTAGGAGCTGTATTAAAACATGTTTGATGAAACACTTTCACTCTGAAGCACCCACATATTTATTTTCAGTTTGATAAGATTGAAGCCGTTTGTCTTAAGGAGTGGGTAAGTTAGGAGCTGTATTAAAACATGTTTGATGAAACACTTTCACTCTGAAGCACCCACATATTTATTTTCAGTTTGATAAGATTGAAGCCGTTTGTCTTATGGAGTGGGTAAGTTAGGAGCTGTATTAAAACATGTTTGATGAAACACTTTCACTCTGAAGCACCCACATATTTATTTTCAGTTTGATAAGATTGAAGCCGTTTGTCTTAAGGAGTGGGTAAGTTAGGAGCTGTATTAAAACATGTTTGATGAAACACTTTCACTCTGAAGCACCCACATATTTATTTTCAGTTTGATAAGATTGAAACCGTTTGTCTTAAGGAGTGGGTAAGTTAGGAGCTGTATTAAAACATGTTTGATGAAACACTTTCACTCTGAAGCACCCACATATTTATTTTCAGTTTGATAAGATTGAAGCCGTTTGTCTTAAGGAGTGGGTAAGTTAGGAGCTGTATTAAAACATGTTTGATGAAACACTTTCACTCTGAAGCACCCACATATTTATTTTCAGTTTGATAAGATTGAAGCCGTTTGTCTTATGGAGTGGGTAAGTTAGGAGCTGTATTAAAACATGTTTGATGAAACACTTTCACTCTGAAGCACCCACATATTTATTTTCAGTTTGATAAGATTGAAGCCGTTTGTCTTATGGAGTGGGTAAGTTAGGAGCTGTATTAAAACATGTTTGATGAAACACTTTCACTCTGAAGCACCCACATATTTATTTTCAGTTTGATAAGATTGAAGCCGTTTGTCTTAAGGAGTGGGTAAGTTAGGAGCTGTATTAAAACATGTTTGATGAAACACTTTCACTCTGAAGCACCCACATATTTATTTTCAGTTTGATAAGATTGAAGCCGTTTGTCTTAAGGAGTGGGTAAGTTAGGAGCTGTATTAAAACATGTTTGATGAAACACTTTCACTCTGAAGCACCCACATATTTATTTTCAGTTTGATAAGATTGAAGCCGTTTGTCTTAAGGAGTGGGTAAGTTAGGAGCTGTATTAAAACATGTTTGATGAAACACTTTCACTCTGAAGCACCCACATATTTATTTTCAGTTTGATAAGATTGAAGCCGTTTGTCTTATGGAGTGGGCGACATAGGAGCTGTTCAGATTCATACGAGTGTTGCAATACACTGCATTTTTTGGCTATTTCGCTGCACTGCATTATTTTGAATCACCTTATGCAATGAGCAGGGATCATGGAGGGCGTCGAAATACCAAAAGTAGGATAAGAGGTGAACATTTAGCTACTTTAAACACAGCACCTACTTGAGACATTTTCCATTTGAAAAGCGGTTGCCTATTCAGAGTGCTATGAAGCTTAGTCAAGTCAGCAAAAAACAATGTGGACACATTTACTTTCAGACCTGCATTTAGAAATGGTTCGAACCTGTAACTAGGCATAAAAGGTGGGATTTAGAAAATGTTCTATTAGGTGCAAAAGGGAGTTGAGCCTGTCTTGTCTCACTTCCAAACAGTGGACTCTGAGTTTGGACTGGAAATGGAAGGAGGAAGAGAAGAGAAGATGCTCACCGAATCCATATCCGAAGGAGGAAGAGAAGCCTGAGCCCATAACACCCCCCATGCTCCCTCTGGGGTCATGATCATGGGCCAGATTGAACTGGTGGCACACAAACAGGTTCATTTCATCGGCCACTACGCTCATCACCCACCCATTCGCATCCCCCACCTACACAAACTACACTCCATCGTCCCCCCCCCCTGTGTAGAAAAATGATGCATGTATGACTCACTCGCCCATTAAAGCTACATGCACACTCTCTGGTCTAATAACTCAAAACCCAAAATCTTTACCCGTTTTTTCAGCATTGGTAAACTTTTTCAACTGTTTTTACACATTTCCGTTCTATACTCTTTTGCTGTTCGATGGTCGATTTTGCCTTCCTTTCAGCAAACGAAATGAACTAAACTTAAAAATAAATCAAGAGTCAAACCGCGAAAAAGTAAATTTGAGCCTGAACTAATTTTAAAGAATTTTCCCGAAAAAACCATGGCGACCTACAAGAGTCTGAACTACGTTCATCGACCCTTAAAAAATTCGGCATTCCATTTCGATGTTCCTTGGGAAAATGCTAGATGCGCGCCAGATTACACATACTATAAAAAGAGGAGAGAGGAATTTAAGCAAAGTTATGGTTCAAATAAAGATATGTGAACGTTTGACTTTAGTCATTAGAGTGATTTATTTGGCTGTCCACTGGCCTGAGTGAGATGTGTGAACAGTTTGGACATGGCGGAGGCAGCAGAAGTGGGCGTGGCCTCTTGAGTGGCAGCTGCCGCCTCCTTCTTCCGCCTCGCCCTCCTCTCCTCGCTCAACACTTCCACGTTGGGCTTGTAAGTGTACTTGGAGAAGAAGGAAGCCATCTTGGTCCCCCCTGATGCTGCTGCTGCAGTCTTCTGTCTCCTGTTCTGGTCCATCTTATTAGCTGTCACACAGAAAACAGAAAGTACCAATCATAGCACAGATAAAAGCAAAATCTAAAGTATTTAACAAAATCAGTTTGGCCAAAACTTTTTTTTCAAAAACGGAATTTTTATCGAATTTGTTGAAAATCGTTCAAAAAACAGGCAGTTGTTGTGCAACTAGCGCGAAATATTTCGACTACACTTAATTTGTGAGAAAAAACTAAGTTGAAATTTTTTTTGCGAGTTTGGGATAGACTAAAAGCAAGCTTAGAATAAATTACTAAAGTGTTTAGTGTCTTCTAAGTATTCATACACTACAAGTAGTTGTCATGCAGTTCAATGTACTATGTCTATTTAAAATTGCATGCATTCAATTCCCATGCTATAGGAACCATGCTAAAGCTAACTTCCGTACGATAAAAAAGCTTGTTATAAATTTCCATCAATGGAATCTATGAATGAAATGCTTATCATACAAAGTCCATTTATAAAAAAGTTTTGACAAGAATGTTTTCCATTCAAATATAAACTCTGCGAAACTCTTCAAGTTTGTTTGCAAGCAATTTTGAATAAACCCGGATTGATCTTGCAGTGAAAATCAGTACTAATGCCGTAAGAAAGCATTACTATTACAGTACTGCGCCAGAGTCAATTTATCTCTGATCAGAGGTAAATCAGCGATAAAAACAGCACTGTAACAGCACTGAAACAGTACAGTAACAGCATTGAAAAATCGCAAAAAAGCAAAAAAGGCTCTAAAAAGGCAAAAATAACTGTGTTTTTAGGTGGTTTTCAGCTGATTTTAGTTGTGGGGGTGAATCAAAGTTTCGAGAAAAAAAACTTTATATTTGTCGTTTTTTTCTACCAAAAATTATCCTTTCCAGGCAAGTTTAGTTGCTCAACCGCTCTTATAATCAACGCTAACCCATTTCTATTTTTTTCGCGAAAAAAATCTGCGCTGTTAGGTGGTTTTCAGCTGATTTGTGGCATAATTTTTAAATGTTAAGGCCTATTTCATTTTTTTTCGATTGTAACGACACGTAAAAAACCTTTGAGTTCAACTCGAAAATTTGAAAAAAAAATATAGAACTGTTCCAGGACAAAAACAGTGATACATAAACACTAGTACCAGGGGCGGATTTAGTACCCCCCCCCCCCCTCAGGGATTTTTAAGAAATCCCTGAGGGGGTTTCTTAAAAATCCGCCCCCCCTTTGGTACTTTTTAAGAAATCCATTTTGGCCAACCGACCCTAAAATTTTTCTAAAGGCGCCTTTGGCGCCAATGTATTGTATTTTTGAGGGGGGAGCGCGCGCCGAAAAAACGCAATTTTTTGGTCAAAATTTTCCAAAAAGTGCCTAAAAACGCCTTTTTTGGACTGTTTTTTCAAATTTTTGCCTGCCGCGCTGAAAATTTTTGCCAAAAAAAGGACTAAATCATGCTTAGGGAGAGCTCAAAAATCCATTCGGTCGACCTAAAAAAAAGGTCGACAAAATTTTTGAATTTTTTTTTTAAATCCGCCCCCCCCCTCGAGAAAATTCTAGATCCGCCCCTGATTAGTACTGTTTTTTCTTATTTCACTGGGCTTTTCCTGGAACAGTACTAAAAATATATCACTGGTTTTACTCTGAAACAGTACTGATTATGACTGGCAGACCAATCCGGTAACCTTATGTCAATTTTCCATACTATCCAACTGTAAGAATAATTTTTTCACAGAATGAAACTGTATGGCCATAAATGGGAACTGCATGACTAGACATTTTTCAAAAATGGAAGCAGTTGAACTAGCATTTTTCAAATCCTAAAAAATGGTTCAAACGACTAATCGTGCTATGCCAGAACTGCTGTGAAAAACCTGAGAAAACTAAGAGGTTTGTGATTTCTGCAGAAAATTTTTCACTGATCAGGAGTAAGTTTTGTCCTAGTTTTTTTTGAATAAGTTTCATTGTTAAATTAAAAGCTTTTGTGATATGAGAAGAAAATATTTAGACCTGATAAAGGAAAATAAACATGCCATTGCAATTTTATGGGAACTGTAAGACTAACGTTTTTAAAGAATTTTTGTGAAAAAAAGCACTTTTTGCCTTGTAATACGTTTAGAGATCATCATTTGCTCATATATTGTTCTTATGTTACTCAAGTTTATAATAACGTTTTTTTGTTTGAGATGGGGAAAGTTTTCATTTCGAAAAAAATTCTAATTATGCAATTCCCTTAGTATGCGAACTGTTTGACTAGTATTTTTTCATAGACAAAATGTATGTAACATTATGAGTAGCGTTTTTTACTGTATGGCTGATAACCCGGGCAGTTAAAAGTCTCGCGATTTCAGTCTCAGGGGCGGATCTAGGGTTTTTTCGGAGGGAGGGGGCGGATTTTTATCTAGAGTTTTGTCGACAATTTTTTTGGGTTGACCAATTTGATTTTCCTAGCTCAGCCCCCAAAAGTACTAAGAAGACCCTGGTTTGGCCAAATTTTCTGCGCCGCAGGCAAAAGTTTAACAAAAGGCCAAAACAGCGTTTTTAGGCACTTCTTGGAAATTTTTGACCAAAAAATTGCATTTTTTCGGCACGCGCTCCCCCCTCAACATTAATATATATTGTCGCCCAAGGCGCTTTTAGAAAAGTTTTGGAGTCAAAAATGGGATATCCTAATAATGGGGTCAGATATGGATATTTTAAATTAGTTCGAAGGGGGGACCCTTTGGGTGGGCAGGGTGTCGAATCCCTCAAGAAAAAAGCGTACGCCCCCACGCCACCCTAAATCCGCCCCTGCTTAGTCTCAATTCATATTACTTCACAGAAATCTGAAAATAAAAAATATAACGAGAGCCTTGAAAAGAATAAATCACTTAGCCCCACATGTCCACGTACTATAGCAAAACCAAAAATAAGGTGAAAGGTAAAATACGACGAGATAGGATCTTTTTTGAGCATATGAAAAAAGGAAACCTCATGAAATCAGTCTCAAATCGCAGCTATGAACAGGATGTAGAAATATGAGGTTACATCGAAAGTATTCAGAAGACAATTGGGAAAAAAGTCGGATCACCTTCAGAATCCCGAAAAATAGTTTAATTAGAGTTGACCTGATGAGAGTTAGGTTGACTCAAGGTGATCCTTCATGGTGATTTTTTTATATGATGGTCTTTTATGGATCATCTTCAGATTCCCGAAATCTGATTTGGGTAGAGTTGATCTAATGCAAGTCAGATTAGAAATTTGCCTAAAAAATTGGTTAAAAGTTAAAACAAATAAAATAAATGGAAGATTTTGTTTATTTCTTTTTCAAACCATATACCACACGCTATCCTAATTACGAAATAACACGTTTTGAAAATAGCAAAGTCTTATATAGTCCAAATAGCACGTCTCAGTTCAATTTAAAATGTTTTCTAAGTCAGATAAAATCTCCGCTTGCGCATTAGTAGCGCAAAAAACATCTCGCGCGAATTGTCCCAAACTGGCCATATTGGCCAACGTCAATGCTTCCTAACTCTGCAAAAAACCGCTGACAGGTGAAATAATTTTTGAAAATTGAACTCAAGAGAACAAAAGCTTTTAGATGATATAAAGATTTCTGCCAAAACTTGCTAGTTATTAAAGAGAAAACTGTCTAGAGGAAATACCCACGCCGAGCACAAATTTTACGTCAATCTCTCCGAAAGTCAAAACAAAAATTTGAAAACCCGAACGATGTTTGAATAGTTTTTATGTGAGATGTTAATTTAAATTGAAGTTTAGAGAGATAGTGATTCCTGCAATTCACATATAGAATAAGCAAATAGAGAAGGAAAAAAGAAAACTTCTCGTATCAGGACCAATCCCAATGTTCCGAGCGCTTTGTAAAGTAGTCAATGGGTAGTGTTTGGCTTAAAAAGTAATGTATTTTTCAAAACGAAAAGTTTCAAAAATTGATCTTTTCAAGTCATCCCTTTACATCCTGAACGAAGTGAAAATTTTTCGCATATGTCAAAGTTTCAAATCGACCAAATAGCATGCCTCATTCAATTTAGATCGATTTCTAAGAGTGGCTAAATCTCCGCTAACGCGTTAGTAAAGCGAAATGTTTTGATATTAAAAAAATCTGAGAAAATTACTAGTTAAAAAATCGAACTTTGTCGGGAGAAAATAAACCACTCGAATACAATTCGTCACTTTCTTCAAAATCGGAACAAAAAAAAATGAAAAAAAAAAGAATAGCCGGTTACTGTGCAAGTAGTACAGAATGATCCGACCAGTCTGAGAAAATTACAACCATATTATTTTTCCAATAAGTGTCGTTTTTTCGGCTTGGTGTGATAAAGGAATCTGAGCGAAAACGTAGAGCTTAAGCATTTTCGTCAATCAGTGTTAAATATGCGAAATGAAAAACAGTTTTGCAGACAATTAACCAAAAAAAAATTTAGAAAATTTGAACTTTTCTTAATATAATTTTTCAAAAAGTTTTTTTCAAATTTTTTGAATTTTTTGAAGTTTTTGTAGCTAAAAACTCCAAACATTAACTTAATTCGAGTAAAGCGAATTTTTCAAGGCTCAAATTAGCATAAATAAGCTCACACGCTCGAAATCAGGCAAAAATCAAAAATTTCAAACCGGTTTTTCTCGACACCGGGAAAAAAATTTGAAACTTTTTAATGTCCTTCGAATCACGACTGAAAGGGTTTTAATATGATATATCACTCAATCCACTCCAATCATTATTTGTGGTACCTGATTTTGCGTGGAAAACAAAAAGCAAAAAAAACTAGGATAGCCGGTTATTGCACAAAATACACAAGGAAGCAAGTAGCACAGAATGTTCCGACCACAGTCTTAAAAAAATACAAAAACTTTTTCTCAAACTGGTGTCGTTTTTTCAGCATGAAGTGATAAGAAAATCTGAACGAAAAATAGAACTTAGGCTTTTAATACGATTTATCACTCAATCCTGTACGATGATTATTTGTGACAGCTGATTTCGCGTGGAAAACAAAAAAAAATAAAACACACCCGAACCCAAAGTTTATTCTCATTTTCAATGGTCGGAACAAAAACCAGGGACTAAACAACTTGCATATGCCCAACCAAGCAAAAAACCACGTATAAAAACGAAATTTAGAAATTGGCAATATAGGCAATTGCTTAAACTTGTAGAAAGACATAAATAGATAGATAGATAGATAGTTTAGATAGATAGATATTCAAAATGTTTTATTTAAAAACCCACAAACCCAAATCTAAAAGTCTCCAAATTTTTGACAATCATGCTCAAACAACAGCCCTAAAAATGATTGTAGACAAACAAGTATTTACATTGAAATAACCAAAAACATTTGAAAGATTGTAGATGACCTGAAAAAAAGGAGAAAGTTACCGAAATAGAGCGACCGAAGAAAAATTTTCCTCGACTTATTTTCAGACTTTCAAAGTCGCACCGATGTTAATTCCGACTGAAACTTCTAAGTCTTCACAGGTTTTCATATTCGCGGGCAAAGTCTTAACATGTCGACTTTCATTCGCGATTTTCTGAAAGTCTGAAAATAGTTGAGGAACAACGTTTGGATGCAAAAGTTATTTGGAAATGAACTTTGGATGTGTTCACACTTACCGGGTGAGGGGCGAATGGGAGCTCTGAAGGATGCATTGTCGGCTGCCGAGGTGGTGGGGGGTTGGAAGGGTGCGAAGGGGGGTAATTGGGAACTGGAAGTAGGGGTGCAGGGGAGGAGGGGGAGGAGGTGGTCTGCTAGGGTGCTGTCCTCCTGCAGTAGGAGGGAGAGGTTGCTTCTCACTGAGGAGAAGACGAAGTTGGTCTGGGGGAGGAGCATCATGCAGGCTATCTTCTCGTGGGGGAAGCAGTCCAAGTTCACTTCGAAAGACTCGATCTGTTAACACACGTAGTCGCTATCATATCACTCCACCCAATCCTTTTAGAGAAAAGAAACTTTTTAAAATAGGTAAATTAGTGTTATATTTAAAAAAAAATTGTTTAAGTTGTCAGAAGATTTTTATCGCTAGCTAAACCTAATATAATTGATTTTTGAGAGAAAATTATAAGAGTTTGCAAATTCACAAAACTGCGTGAAATGCATAAACTACATTAAGGCGAAGCGGGGCTCCACAAAACGTGCGTTGCAGCTTAAAACCTTGCACTACAAGATTTTGAATAAAAAAAGAAACAGTTCATTTTTTTGAATAATCAAGCTGATCAAAAATCGAAATGAATACACCTTTGAAAATGTCATAACTTTGTATTGGATGATGTTTGTAGACAGCCTCAACATGCATTGAGAATTATTGACCGAGTGGAGACTCACGCAAAAAAATTGAGTCGACCAAAAATTCTCATAAGACAAACAGTTTCCAAAAAACGAGCACATTTTCAAAATTGTGCTTTTTCAAGGTCGTTGTTTTTTTTCCTTAAAAAATAAAGACGACAACAGTTGAGCAACAAAAATTAACAACCTTTTTTTTAAAATAATTTTTAACCTCAAGTTTCGCAAGGAGTTTTCGAGAAAATTATAAAATCCAATAACGGTCTAATTGTTAAAGTTTGGACATTTCTCAGGCCAAAACTTTTTTACTCCATTTAGGGCGTAGCAACTAATGGAGACTTCGCCCAAACACAAGAAAAACAACAATCCAAAAAACTCGGTCTAAAGTTTCCTCTTACTGAGTTTTTTGAAGATCGTAGAACGCCCGGTGAAAACCAAAATAAATAAGCGAAATATCTGTGCACACATGATATTACCCGGTATCTCCATCGATAACACTTTTGTGAGTATCGGTTTACTAAATTCTGAGAAAAAAACTAAAAAAGCAATCAAAAAATAAGCTTAAAAACAAAAAAAAATCAACTCATATACCGATTCATATTAAATATTTTTATCAAAAAATAACTTACCAACAAAAAACCAGGTACAAATCATGATTTTTTGGAGCAAAAGTTATTTGGATAAAAAAAGCAAAAGCGCCATCAAATCAAGAGCAAGTTGCCCTGCGACTACGCTTAGCTTGCATAAAAATCAAAACATTTACGACCCATCCATACTGAAACAAGCAAAAGCATTAGAAAAAGTTGTCCTTAAAATTACGCATCATACGTTCACTAGCCGATATAACATCCGCTGCCCCGTTCAATCAATCATAATAAATTTTTTCAAAATCAAAGTTGTTAAAGTTACTAACTGCAGAACAAACACTTATATTAAACGTCATTTGGATAAAAAAACTCAAGCATTGGAAAACAACCGGGTGGAAAAGTGTAGTAAATAAAATAAATATCTATTTAAAAAACGTAAAACTAGGACGAAAACAACACATCCGATAAAAACAACATTTTTACAAGGAAAAATAATTACCTAAATTATCTAAAAAAAATTTATTTGAATTTTAGCTTGTCAACTGGTATGTTGTGAGAAATACGTGTCGTTAGTGCAGTAACTTCCACGTGCAGTGTACATAAAAAAATGTTTTGGGGAAAATCTAATTTCCGGTAACAAGTCAATTGCTCCTGCAAGTGAAAAAAATAAATCATCGCTGCAATTTTTACTTTGACAAGGAAATGCATATCTTGGAAGAGTTCTACAAGACTCTTGTAAGATTTATATTTCAAATTGAGCATGCAAACCTTGATGGGTTCTTGCAAATATTGCACTCCAAGTTGTGTGAATCCAAGTAAAGTAGGATCTTGATAAAAATTATTTTATTTAAATTTTTTGTTCACATATTTTTAAGAGAAACGTGTGTTATTTTACAAATCTCAGTTTTCAAACAATGCGATTACAATTTGAATATTTTGTTTTTAATCAACAATCTGATGTGCCCGCTTTCGATTTGCTGATTAATTGTTTTACAGGCTTGACACTAAAATCAACGCTTTCAAGTTTTATTCCTAAAACTTTGATTAAATTTGCTGTTCATTCACAATTGAGGTTTTACATCAAGGAAACTGAAAAACATAAGCAAACAATAAATAAATAAAGCCAAAACTGTTCATACTGATGTAACAAGACTACCTTTATATCAGGCCCTCAAAATTTTAGCTGCCCTTTAATTGATCTCAGATAGTTTTTGACAAACAAATTTTGATAATTTAAAATTTAAGCTGCCAATAAATGGTGTGATGTGCTTAAATTTGAGTGGAAATAATATAACCAATTAGTTAGAAGTTTTTCATTTAGGAATAATAACAAAGGCGGATGGAAGACGAGCTTTCATTTGACTTACATTCTACCGGATAAGTCAAAACATGAGCATTTTACCTGACTCGATAAACAAATTTAACTGAGAGATGTAACGCTGCCCTACAGTTTTTCAAAAAAATGGTTTTCAAAAAAATATACTCCTCTTAGTCAAATTTGTTTATCGAGTCATGTAAAAAGCCCATGTTTTGACTTATCCGGTAGAAGGTAGATCTAGTGAAAGGTCGTTTCTCAGCTAATTTTTGTGTTTTTTTTAACCGCTTCTTTTTCAAAATTTTACTAATTTGCTTTAATTCAAGGATTCAATTTGCTTTTTCAGTTTGCTTTTTAATTCAATTTTAGAAAAAATGACAGAAAATTTGTGCTTGCGGGGTTTTTTTTCTCATGACAAATTTGGATTTATTAACAAACAGTTTTTGACAGAGTTTTCTTACAGCATTCAAAAAGTATTTTACTCTCGAGCTCAAGTTTTAATAAAAATTTCACCTGTGATCTTTATTTTGCGATGTCAATTGCGGATCATGAACGCGCGATACATTTCGTCCTAATAACGTGTAAGTGGAGCATTAATTCGTTTTAGAAATCGTTCCAAATCGAAATGAGGCATGTTACTTGGTCTACTTAATATTTTCCTATATGTGAAAGTATCACTTTTTTATTTCGATAGAGTGCGAGTGGTATGATTTTCAAAAAACTCAAAAAAACATGAAGTTTTTTTTTGAAAATTTCATCAATTATCTTAAAACAAGCGCTACTCCATAGAACTTAAAATGCAGTCTGAACATTAAGAGTCCTGATATGGCACTATTTTTTGGTTTGGTAAAAGATCGGTCTAATAAAAGATTTAGCCACATTGCGGTTAATCAGAAAGATATGAACAATTCGCTTGTTAAAAATTTAATCGAGCAGCTATGCCAACTCGGTTTTAGTTTAGCGCAAGCATACTCGCTTTGCATTCCAAAAACTTCCGGATCGATACTCACAAGCAGTCAGTTTTATTCTGTCAATTATGAAATTGGTCTAAATAAATAAATAAAACAGCCTGAGCATATATATTCCTCAATTTCCTCGAAATTCGGAACAAAAAACCTTATCTGCTGAATCGGATGAACTGTTCTTCGTTCTTACGTAGAGAGTGAGAAGAACATCGACTGGGAATTTGGTGTCCGATGAGACGATGACCTTGGCCGCCTGCAGGGGCATCTCACTCATCGACTCAGGTGACTCATCCCTGATTGGCTCATCGGCTTCCTTCCCTTCCTCTTTTCCATCGCCACTGCCCTCTGATTCTTTACTGTCCCCTAAAAACACCCCTAACCTCTATATGCCGCTAAGTAATCTATATCCAACGAAAGGGCTGCATTTTGAAAAGGAACAACAAACGTTAGCTCGCATTTAAACAAATTTAATTTATTGCTCAAAATTTTTCGAATGAAGATAAACCTAAGTGTGGGAAAAATAACAATGCCAAAAATTACAAATAGTCGACAAAACACGAAAAACCATCCAAACAAAAAAGACTAACGTCAACAAACAAGTCCAGCCGGCCAGGGATGGGATGACAATTATTCTTATTTTTGAAACAATTAGAAAAAAGTGTAAACATAAGATACATTGTTCTTTAAATATATATATTTTTTATTCTCGAGGCATATCATTAAAAATACAAATTAATTTGATCAAAGTGTTTTCGATTGCCAATTTAGAAGCGCAAGCCTTTTTCTAGTCTTAATGTATTCAGTTCTCTCCAAAAAACATCCCTTTTGTTGCAAATTGTCTGACGAACAACCAAATCAAATCAACGCAACAGAACACACTTCTCTTAATGATTCAAATTTCGTTTTTTACTCGCGTTTTTACTCGTGTTTGAAAACATATTTTTCACTCAAACATTTTGAAACATGACTTGAAGCTATCCATCGTTGCAGCCAACAGTCAGTGTACACAAAAGCACACAAAAGCTACAGAAGCTGGATAACAAAAATGTTGGAAAAGATAACAGTTATAAACACATTCTGCATTTCTCATCGATTATCGCCAATCATGAAACTTTAAAAATACGGAATGTTTATATTTATATATAGTAAAGGCCTAAAAAGGGTAATTAAAGAGATAGTTGCAAGATATATCTGATAGATAGATGGTAGAAGATGCAGAAGAGGAAAAGAAGGAGAGAGAGAGAGAGAGAGGCGGCTGCTGCTGTTCTGCTGTTCCTACCTGCCACATTGTTCAACACTTGCTGGATGTAGTCCAGGAATGAAGGAGACAGCCTCATCAGCTAAACACAACAGCTGAGAAATGGCCATAGCACCATACAGACAAGCGCGCATCATGCTCTGCCTCCACTAACCCATCCTTCCATTTAAATGTTGGCGATTGATGAAATGGTTGATCAGATTCGGTTGCAGTTATCCGTAAACGGATATCATTTGATTCAAAAGACGAACCTTTCTATCTAATAATATTGTCGGGTTGTCCTCTTTTTCTTTTCTTTTTTTTCTGAAAAGACCTCTCCTTTGGTGGGTTTGAATTAGTTTTCACACAGAGGCAAAGCGGAATTTCGCAACACTTGCAGAACAACACAAAGATAGCATTACAAATTATTAGCCAGACAATGAGACGAAGGCAACCAAGTCGAAGACTTTTTATAGTTTGAAGAAACAAAAAGTTTTTAAACTTGTCAGTTGCAAATGATCTTTGGGAAAATATGCCAAAAAACACCATCACCGCCGTTAATCAGCATTCGAAATCATTTGCCGAGTGAAAACTAAGTCGAAAAGACTTAATGAAGGTCATCAAGATGTCATAGAAATAAAATGACAAAATGAAAGAAACTTTCGAGCTGAAACTTTACGCCATATTCTTCGAAACCAACAATTGCTTCTGTTTTTTTTTTAAATTATTTTTAAGCTACGCAAAAAGAAGTAAAAAAATCAGTAGAGCAAAAACCCAAGTAGTATTATATCGTGTCCCGGATCCTAAGGGGGGGTCCTAACGTAAAGCAAAATCCTAGGAAAGGGGTCCTTAATTTTTTGGAGGACCCCTATCCTAGGATTTTGTAAATGATCGCAAGTTCCCACCCCTAAAGTAAAAGACCCCCTCCCTAGGATCTTGTTAAGCTGAGCTCAACAACCGGGACGCAATACAATAATTCCTTCTAATTCCTTTTAAAGCGGTCCCTTTTCCCGCGATAATTGAAATTAATCGTCCTAATTCCTGAACTTTTCTTTTTCATCCTAGTTTCATGTAGATATAATTTCCTGGCTTTCTTTCTTTTCGTACAAGATTTGTCATGCTATTAAAGTTTGTTATTGAAAACGAGTCTAAGGATTTCACACATTTGTTTGAATTAACACTTGGTTTGCGTCAGCTAGTTTATTTGCCTGAAGCTATTTATGTTAAAACAGTGATTGAGCTCAATACGAGTATTTTATTAGTTGTAAATAGGTAAAAACCAAAACATATACAAGTCGAAGTATGAAAACGACGAACAGTAAAAATCATCTTGAGACTTTAATGTTTATTGTTTTGGTTTTCATTGCGCTGTTTTTTAGGTGGTCGTTCTTCTGAAGCTTCAGATAAAATAAATGGGTTGTTTATAGGGGGACCTTCATGGACTCTTCTTCCTGTAGCTCTGTTTCTGAGTAGGGCCGCTGTAAGAATCCCCAATCTGGAAGTTGAAAATCGGGAGAACTGTTATCAGTTTCATTGTATGAGTTGGCCCACTCAGTGTTCATGTAAATGTCTTCTAGAAAAGCATTTTATTCAGCGGCTTTATGGCCAAAGGGCACTGTCGAAATTCCGTCGAAAAGTAGAAAACGTTTTGAGTCGAATGGTGATAATGCAAGTTTGTTTTGTTTCACTGTCATATTGGTGTGACCTTTCGAAACTATATTATAGTTATACACTCTCACTGTTTTTCCAGTGAATAATGGGTCCCTGAAGGTTTGATGGACCAGTTCTCTCTGTGCACTCCGTTTAATTCCTTTGGCACTCAATTTTTGAGTGCCTTCTAAACAGAAGCAAATCTTTTATTTTTTTCTAGAACGCAGGGGATAGTTTCATTTCACTTCAGTAACTCAATTTATAGGGAACAAAATTTCATTCATTTTACCAAAAAAGAGCAGAAGACTCTAAATTATGATTCAAAAAGAGGAACACAACGTGGTCTATTGATTAAACCCTTAATCCCAAATCTGGACGGGTATATTTTGAGGAAATCAAAAAATTCCGAAAAAATGGGCAAAAAGTGAAAAAAGTACCGAGTTGTGAAGCTTTTCTAAGACCGTAGGGGGTGGGGTAGGGTAAAAATTGCCCTAAATTTCATGCAGGCAGGTAGGTAAAACGCTACTGAATCCATTGGTACTACTTTTATGAGAATCTGACGGGTAGTTTTTTGGGAAAGCGAATTTTTCGAAAAAGCGTCTCAAAAAAAAAGATCTCATCTGGAAAAAAAACGTGTTCATACTACCTGTTTAATCGATTAAACCCTTGATTCCAAATTTATTTTCTCCAAGTCTCGGTAAACGTCATCAATTTTTATGGCATAAATAAAACTATCCGTGACGGAGTATAGGAGTTCCAAGTTTAGATTAGTTTCATTTTTTGATAATGAAACTGAAACATGAAACGCTTGGCGAGGTCTAGGATGGTTGCACCAACTATCATAGGTTTGTCCCACAATATTTTTGTTACTGAAAAGCTGATTGTGGCTAATTGATCGTCAATGATTTGAAAGCTTTTCATTGTGCTCAGAGCTGTTTTTTGTAAAAGTTCTCTCTCATTCCTTACAATCTCCAGCTTCTTTCTTCCTAACTTAGACTCCATTGTCTTACCGAAAGCTGAATTAACAATTAGCTTGTTGAAGTTCTCCTGGAATTTATTTACGGCGGCTTTTCGTGGGCGGGTGTTGAGGTCGACAAAGGGTGACATCCAGTGACTTTGGCGGAACTGAAGAACTTTTCCTAGGTGAGTTATTTTCATTCCCAGCTCATGGTACAATTATAGGGTAAGGTAGTGCAAAACATAACCTTCTTTAGGATGCAAGGTCTGTAGAAGCTTTGGCACTTTTGGCACTGTGGTGATTCCCACTTTTCCCAACATGTCGACTTGCTCGTTGCTCATTGCACCGATGTCCACTACTTCACGAGAGGGGGCAAGGGGGTAATCAGCAAAGAAGTCGTGAAGCTCTTCGGGTATGGTTAAATTGACTTCAGCTATATAACCCCACTCTGAGATTTCGCTGGTGAGCAGTATGTCTGCCAGACTTTTTTCAACTAATGAAAAATCGTTTAAGGGCAAAGGGCAGTGTTTCATTATCCCCCCGTACAAATTATTTGCATCAATATTGAGGATGTAGCTTGATGGTTCTGAGGGCGAAAAATCGTCGAGGTATTTTTTGTTTGCTTTGTAAAATCGGCGCGCGTAAACCGACGACATGCCTCCTCGTATCATTTGCTGCACAAGGTCTAGATGTTCACGGTCCGTTAAGAGTTTCAGTTCGGGCTGACAAACTTTTAGAAATGCGTCCCCAGAAAGGTTACTTGCCGTGAAGTGCCAGGCGCAATCCAGCCCGTATGTTTGATAGCAAACTTCACGAAAAGCTTCGAAAACAGAAGCAAGCAATAGCACATCTGTAGTCAAGTACAAGTCGTGGTAATCACTAAGTGAGCCACACTTCAGTTCGGTGAAAACTTTAAGGGCATGATTGTACTCGCTTCTTGAAACACTCACATCCCCTCCTGTTAGACTATTTTTCCACATTGCTCGTGAGGGAAGGCGAGTTTCTCGGAATTTTTCGAATGAGTTGAAGTATGAGTAGGGGTAATGCCCTTTCAGGTGAGCGGCCGAGTTTTTCAAAATATTTCTCCAGCAGAAAAAACTTTTCGTTGGGCAAATTATCGACAAGTTTTGCCAACGATGCTAGCATGAACCTATACGTATCGATGAATCTCAGATTTTTGTAGAGTTTTTTGATTTTTCCGTTTATGTCCGTGTACGTTTTTATATATACTGAGATTGTCAAGGATATATATTTTTCTTCAGATGCGGGTATTACGGAAAAAGTGTTTTCCGAATCGCTTTTTGCCAGCGCTTTGATTATAAAGTGTAACTCATAATTTGACAAATTATGAGCTACCACTGGAATGTAATTTGTTGTTTTTCTATTAACGTTACACTCATTGTGTGCCCAACTCAGGAAATTGTTGGTGTAATGGCAATGATCAAGTACCACTTGATCATTGTTGGAAAAATCATTCTCGCATATCTAACAAACTGTAGCATCTTCCCGTTACTGGTCTGTTATACCAGTGAAAGTGTAATTTTTCCTTTTTTCTACGTAAACTTGTCTCGCTAACGATTCAAGGGAGCTAATTAGCTCTTCCATCACATTCGGTCCTCTTTTAAGCTCAAACTTTAACAGGTCTTTTTTCCCAAATTCGATTACTGCTAACGCGTAGCCGCACGGTTGATGGATTTCAATTGTTTGCGTGCTAGATTTTCGCGGATCAGGTTGCGGTCCGTATACTGGTAAGAGCAGTGACTGCAAATCAAAGTAGATTACTCTGGGTACGTACCAACGAGCTGTTAAGTTTTTGAACTTGTGGTCATCTTTTCCCGGCTTGGGCATTGTTATGACGACATCTTTGTCTTGGTAGCACAATTCTTGATGTCTTCTCAGAGTTTCGAATGAAGCGCATGTGTGGAAACATTTGCGACAAATCTCAGATTGAAGTCGGTGCACTTTGTGCCGCACGTACTCGACCAGTTTCTGGAGATCACTTATCAACACAAAGTGATATTTTGATCCATCTGTCGGCAGCAACAAGTCCACAATCAGGCTAGTAGTGAATCTGCTCGATACTCTTATAAACAAAAATTCGCCATCGTTGTACCTGAACAGAAAAATAATTTTTATACCTAGGTTTGGAGTGAAATGAAAAGGGTGTTTGAATAGGTGAAGAACATTAAGGAAGGAATTTTGAGATTTTTAGAAGGCAATTAGAATTTGCTTACCGGAAGACGTTGATTTGACAATTGTTCAACTTTTCAAATCTGTCCATATCCATTAGACCCATTGGCATTTCGTATTCCCCATTGATTTTCACAATTCCTTCTTTGTCGAGATCGTAGGTTGAGACTTTGTTTTTCTCCAGTCACCGTCTAGATGTGGGGTAGAGGGCCGGCCCATTCACATTGTGATATGCGGCAACAAAGCAGTAGAGAAAGCAACGGTCATCATCTTTAATGTTGATATTTGTGAGCAGAGTAGATGCT